GGTCTGGTAGGGGCCAGCAAGGATCTGGTGGGAGCTGGGCGGGAAAGTGTGCGCGACCCTCCAGCGCGACGTGGGGTTCCCGGCGTGGGGAGGGGCCTCGCCCTGCCTCCGCCCCCGGCCGGCACGCTTCTTAAGAATGAATGGGGGGGGAGGGGACACGGAGGAAACTTTCCTACTGGATTCCACTGGTTGGAAGGGAGGGGCTCCTCTAACGTACCCCCATCTTCGATCCCTTGTTTCTCCCAGTAAGGCGGAATCCCGCGGCGTCACAGCTGGCTGGCGGGAGAGCAAGACTCTGGGGTCGCTAAATGGAACTGCCATCCTGGTTATTTGGGGCAGAGTCTAAGTAGCTTGCAGGGTCTAACCTGCCCCCAGACTTGCGTGTTTGAAAAGGGGGCCCCCAGCGCCGTGAGGAGACCTCTCCTCTTCGGAAGGCATCAAGCTCTGCCATGGATCCTACCCCCTCTTCCAGTATCCTAGGAGTCTCAGACAACGGCTTGAGCAAAATCAGACACCTATCTTGTCTACACCCTACCCCAGTTTATCCAACAAAGGATCTCAGAATACAGCTCCACACCTAGGGCTCGGGGATCGGGGTAGAGTGCCTGGTGGTTGAAACCAGCTAACTCCCAGGCACTCGGAACTAGAGAATGGGTGCAGATAGTCCATGTTGATAGGCTGGTCAAGGGCTAACACCCCAGCCCTGGGGATGGGGGTTGAGACTCAAATCTTGGATCTTGTAATGACATCTGTCTGTCATCAGAAGCCTGTGTCAAATCCCTCACAGCAGGGCTCTGATGAAATCGTATAGACTCAACCCAGAGGAAACCAGTCCTGCTTTTACAGGGCCCAGAGTGAGCTTGGTCACGGGATTGTGCCCCATGCCTTAGCCTATAATCACAGCACTCTGAGATGGATAAGCTTGTTCTCCTGATGATATTTGCTCCTTATCTCCTTCTTGCTTCTCTTTCTCTTAGGGTGTACTCCCGTCCACATTGAGTAGAGACAGGATACCCCCCCAATACCCAAGGAACAGGAGACAGGAAAAAAGACAGGCTGTGTCTGGGATGCTCACAGCAAGTAGAGGGGGATGAGGTTACACAAAATCCCATTAAAAAAAAAACAAACAAACAAACAATACTTTAGAGGAAGGGAGGAAAGGGGCAGGGAACAGACAGGGTGGAGAGAAATGTGGGGCATATGCCTTGCAGGGGGCTTGGACATTGACTAAGATGAAATTGTTCAGGGTTGAACATCTAGGAGTTGCTGGGAGATAGCCAACTTTCCCAAGTGAGGCCGAGGTCAGTCTCCACTGATCTGTGACCCTGGGCTTGTTCAATTGCACTCCTGAGGTTGGTGCTAGGATGCCAACTCCTTGTAACTTGATTGTTGAGATGCAGTGGAGCAACAGGGCCTGCTGATTTAGTGGCCACTCCCTTCATGCCTCTCTGCAGGAGCTGTTTAGACACTCTGCTTATCACGGGGAACTGGCTTCTCTGCCTTACTTTCTAGTCCCATGAACATCCTTGCCTTCCCTGGCCCAGTGGGGATGGGTGGTACCCTGTCTCCACTAACTGTAGGGAAGGGTGCACCCCTGAGATGAGGAGACTCAATAGGGAGAGACTGTGGCTAGCTGGACTCCTTCAGTGGATTCATAACTGCCCCAGTCTTGACAGCAGTGGGACCAGAACTTGGGGAAAAGCCCTATGACCACAGCTCATGATCATGATGGGCTAGGTCCCACCAATAGAGGGCATGTCCACATGCCTTTAGTCCCAGCACTCAGGAGGTAGAGGCCAACGGATCTCTGTGAGTTCGAGGCCAGCCTTGTCTATAGAGAGTGCCAGAACAGCCAGGGCTATACAGAGATACCTTGTCTCCAAAAACCAAAACCAAACAAACAAAAAGGGTACAGAGGTGGAGGGTCCTCCAGTCTCTGGGGGGTGGTAGTGGGCCAGAGAGCCCCCCCAACCCACAGGGGATGAGCATATCCTACCACCCAGTTACTCAGTTATAAATTGTGTGGGGTTTTTTGTTTTTGTTTTGAAAGTGTTTCACCATCTAGTCTTGACCTCATCTCAGTTCTCTTGCTTCAGTCTCCCAAGAGCTGGGATTACAGGCATGAACCACCATGTCCAGCTTCAATTATAAATTAGGATGCAATAAACACCTCTTCCTTCCTCAATCTGATGTGCGGAGGCGTGGGGGTGTGGTTCCCATGGCTTTCTAGGCAAGCCTCCCTTGTTCACTGGGTCCGTGAGGAAGGAGGAGGCCTGCTTGCTGAGGGAGTGTTTGTGGGCATAGTGTGTTGTCCATGCAACAGCCTCCTTGTGAGTGGAGGCTTAGGTTTCTCAAGAAGAAAAGATTAAAAACAAAACAACAACAAAAAAAACCTCTACCAGAGAACGATCAGTCTACTCAAGGGGGTCACCTAAGGGAGGTCCAAGAGGGGCGGCGTGAAGACAGCGCGGAGCGAGCAGGCAGGGACAGGCCTCCTAGGTCCAGGAGCCAGCAGCGGAGGCTTGCTCCTGTACTCCGGTGCAGGGTGGACTCTGGGCCAGGCGCTCGCTCATCGCCTCACTCGCCCACCTTGCAGCTCAGCCTACGACGCGCGTCTGCGCCAGAAGGTGGCTGTGAAGAAGCTGTCTCGCCCTTTCCAATCGCTGATCCATGCAAGGAGGACCTACCGGGAGCTGCGCCTACTCAAACACCTGAAGCACGAGAACGTGAGAGAGCGGGCCAGTGTTGTAGGGATTGAACAACCGACACCGCCCGGTGGGGGCGGGAGCGAAGTGGGTGGGGTGGGGCCTTTGGAGGGTACGCCTCCACATAGGCGGGGCCCAGACCAGTGGGGCGTTGCCTACAGCTGTGCTGTGGTCCTTCCTCGGTTCCCTGCCCAGATCATAGGGCTTCTGGACGTCTTCACGCCGGCCACATCCATCGAGGATTTCAGCGAAGTGTGAGCGGCCCGGGCATGCGTGGTGATGGCCTTGGGAGCTTAGTCGGGGAGGGTGTAGTGAGACACTCTCTTAACTCCTGATCCTGGCGCAGGTACCTGGTGACCACCCTGATGGGCGCTGACCTGAATAACATCGTCAAGTGTCAGGCACTGAGCGATGAGCATGTTCAGTTCCTTGTCTACCAGCTGCTACGTGGGCTGAAGGTGGGGCGCATGGGCTCTGGGGTTGCCTCGACAGCGCTGGGTTGGGCAGAAAGGGATGGAGCCTGAACTCACCCGGTGTGCCCTCCCCTGCAGTATATCCACTCGGCAGGCATCATCCACCGGGTAGGTGCAGCTGTGGGCGAGGGTGAGGGTCAGTCACTCTGCCTAGGCTCATGGCTGCCTCACTCACACCCGGTCCACCCTGCAGGACCTGAAGCCCAGCAATGTAGCGGTGAATGAAGACTGCGAGCTTAGGGTAAGGATGTTGGTGGGGGTGTGTGAGCAGCGGGGATGCACAGAGAAGTAGGTTGCACAAAGAAGTTGCATAACACTTATGGTACTCCAGATCCTGGACTTTGGGCTAGCGCGCCAAGCTGATGAGGAGATGACTGGATATGTGGCCACACGTTGGTACCGGGCGCCAGAGATCATGCTGAACTGGATGCACTACAACCAGACAGGTACCATAGACCCTCAACAGTGGTCTTGTACTGTAAGGGTGGGCAGGCAGTGCTCACAACAAGGTTTAGGGAAGGTGACAAATCGGTGGGGGTAGAAAGAAGGACTAAAAGGGAGAAGAGCATGCCTGGAGCTCTGAGTGAGGGGCAAGGGCTTGGTGGGACTAGCTTTTAGAAAGGCTTCTAGCTTGGCCGGTATCCTCAGACCTCTTCTCAGGGTAGGGTATAGAGTAAGGGCTCTACTGGTCTCGTAGGTCCTGGATATGACCGAGGGTCACTGGGCAGGCTTCCTCCAGCACCACAGGAAGGATTTGGACTGGCAGGCTGAAAGTGTCTCCTTATTCTCCCCCAACAGTGGACATCTGGTCTGTGGGCTGCATCATGGCTGAGCTGATTCAAGGAAAGGCCCTCTTTCCTGGAAACGACTGTATCCTTGGAGAGCAGGGTCAAGCTGGGGTCCCAGTCTACAGGGTAGGGGTGGTTTCTGGACCTTTTTAAAAGTCTTACTTCTTATGCCATGTCAGGTGGGGCTCCCTGTCCTGAACCACCCAGGTCCACATCAAGTGTTTCCTAAGCTAGATAGACATTGACCAGCTGAAGCGAATCATGGAGGTGGTTGGCACACCCAGCCCCGAGGTTCTGGAAAAGATATCATCGGAGCATGTAAGTTAGTAGCCATCCATCCATCCATCCATCCATCCATCCATCCATCCCTTCATCCATCCATCCATCTGTTGGTTCTGCTGACCAAGTACAGGTCATGTTGGGGAGGGGTTGGGGTGCAGATAAATGGGCATTGTATGGGGGACATGGACAGAGTGGGATAGGGCTTGTGCTAGAAACCCAACCCCTTCAGGGGGAAGCAGGTGAACCAGAAGGACATTTCCAGGTAGGAGAGACAGTGAAGACAAAGCTACCAACACTGACAAACTCCTCTGGCTACAGACGGTGGAGGCAGGTGAGGGGAGAGAAAGCTCTGACTATTTGGCTTTTGCAGGCATTATCAGAAGCCAAGTGGAGGTCTCGAGTCCCCAGACTTTTTTGTTGTTTTTGTTTTGTTTTTGGAGACAGGCTTTCTCTGTGTAGCCCCAGGAGTCCTGGAACTTGCTCTGTAGACCAGGCTGGCCTTGAACTCAGAGATCCACCTGCCTCTGTCTCCTGAGTACTGGGATTAAAGGCATGGGCCACCACTGCCCAGCTAGGGAGCCCCCAGACTTTGAGAGCAAGACTCTGGCTTGCTGGGGCACCTGCCAGGCCTGTTGGAATGAATGCATCAGGGCCGTCTCCTGAAGCCTTCTGCCCAGTCTAGGGCTATGGGAATAGAGGGTAATTAGCCCTCCAAACCCTTCTTATGTGTCTCCAGGCCCGGACATACATACAGTCTCTGCCCCCCATGCCCCAGAAGGACCTCAGCAGTGTCTTCCATGGAGCCAACCCTCTGGGTGAGGACTGGTACTGGGTCTTGGCTGGGCTTCAGATCCAAGACTGGATGTGGTGCTAACCCTCACTCCTGTAGCTGTAGACCTCCTTGGAAGGATGCTGGTGCTAGACAGTGACCAAAGGGTCAGTGCAGCTGAAGCCTTGGCCCATGCATACTTCAGCCAGTACCATGACCCTGATGATGAGCCAGAGGCTGAGCCCTATGATGAAAGTGTTGAGGCCAAGGAGCGCACACTAGAGGAGTGGAAGGGTGAGCACAGGGCAGGGGGCAGGGGAGAGGGAGAAGTGCCCAGGAAGTCTGTGAGCTGCATTTTCTCAGAGCAAGATTTTACCTGTTTCATACAAGAAACTCCCCAGAAATTATCCCCAAGTGGCCTGGGAGGGGGAAACAACATGCCTGTACTCCAGAGTGAGACATGTAAAGGTGTGTGTATGTGTATGGTGTGTATGTCAGAGGCTTGGAGGGCAGTGTGGGGCGGGCTCTGGTTTTCAGCTTAGGGAGTGGTAGATGTGGGCTGGGAAGCAGATGCCACACATGCAGATGGGCAACAGCACAATCTTACCCCTTCTTTTCATTCCTCTAGAGCTAACTTACCAGGAAGTCCTTAGCTTCAAGCCCCTGGAGCCATCCCAGCTACCTGGTACCCATGAGATTGAACAGTGAGGCATTGCCCGAGGGGAGGCTTGAGCCTGTCCCCTTTCCTCAGCTCTCCAGTTTTTTTCTCAAAAGGTGCCTCTCAGGCAGCCCTGACACTTAACCTGGGACTCCTTGACGTGAGAGAACTCTACACATATACACACACGAAGGCACGAATGTGTACATATGCCTGCCATTATGTGTTGGAGCCTGGGCAGTAGTGTTTCTGGGCCTACCTTGATCCACCCAGGTTCTCCTTGGGACCTCAGTGTGTGGAATCTGAGTGTGTCCTTGTCTGAATCACTTCTGCTCTTGAGAACTATCTGGATTGGGAAGAAGACAAACAGGCCATGGCCCCTGGAGACTCTGGGGGTGGGGTGGGAGTCACAGTGGTTGGAGCAGCTCAACCTGGAAGTGTGTGGCTGAAAGCTGAGGCAGGGCCAGTGCCCCCATCCAACTGAGTGGAGTTAGTTTCCCCTGGTGGTGTCAAGGCAGAGACCATCACCAGATATCTAATCCGAAAAGCTGGCTGCAGCTTTGTTTGCCTGTGACATGTGGGCAAATGGGCATGAATGTATATTGCTGGTATACACATCAGAGAACATGCAGGCATGTACTGATGTGTACGAGCACGTAAGGGTCAGCAGCCATTTCTGGTAGGGCACCTAAGATGGAGACACTCTTGCCTCCCCTCCCCCAAGTTCCTGTTGCCTAATGGGTCTTGAGACCCAGCGTGAAATAGACTACTTCTCTGAGAGGTGCCAAGATCCATTCGTCTGAGAAAAAACCAGGACTTTCTGCTAGGGTGTAGGGCTGCTGCAGGATCCTGAGGCACAAGGACACAACGCCAGCTGGGAATCTGGTGAAGTAGGGGGGGTCTAATCTCAAGGATTCTAAGTGGACAGCACCCATGGATGTGAACTTGGACATTCTTGCCCCTGAACCTTGATTCAAAGCTGACAAATATCTGCCCACATTCTACCTCCACCTACCCTTGTATAGCTACCACAGCTGGCATGCTGTGGTCAGTGAGTCATCCCTTATCTCCCCTTTCCCCAGAGAGGAGCTGACCAAGAAACTTTTGAGGTAGGACCCTGTTTGAAGACATGTTGGGGGTGTGGCTCCCCCCTGAAGAGATGATTATCTCTTTCTATCGGGGATCAGGGGACTCTGGATGTCAAGTGCCTGCACCAAGGGTGCACAATAAAGGGGTTTTCCTCTTGCTCTTGTGTGAAAGGCTCCAGACCCCATTGCTTTTGCTGCTCCTGCTGCCTGGGGCGGGGTTAGGGGTGGATCTCTGTGCATGGTCCACTTCCAGCTGGTCCCATAGACTTGGCATTTGTTGCACCCCCTTGATCACTCAGTGAGAGCAGTGGCCATTTCTGGTACCATCGTATCTCCTCTGTAGAGGGGTCAAGAACCTAGGAGGCCAGTGCTGGATAAGACCCAAAGGTTGCAGGGGAAAAATGGTGTGATAGCCATCCCACATTGGTCCCTACTGTTTTATGTGCATTGGGATCAGCAGGTAGACTTGGCTCCCTCTTACTCAATGATGAGGCTGGCTCTTGGGTGGGGTGATGATGTGGGATTGGCTCTGGAGGAAAGGCCAGTTCTTCCTCGGGGACTGGACAGGATATGGGAAATAGCTTTCCTTTCCTTCCTGGCTAAGGCAAAAAGGCTGCTTCAGCCCAGGGTACAGCCAGCTCATGTATCATGTCCATGTCCTGAATCTTGGACCTCTAGACACCTCCATCTGGCAGCTGGTCCAGGGGGGAAACCCAGAAGACCAGAGCCAAGTCCAGTGTTGGGGATCAGGAGAGGGAGTAGAATCAAATACATGGCTCTAGTTCCAAACCCTGATCTGGATTAGTCCCCTACAGAGGGAGGGGACTGGGGAGATTTTGGAAGAATATTGGTGGGTGGCCAGAGGCATGAAGGGCATTAAGGACACAGGATACAGGCAGATGTGGCTTGAGTGGCCTGGCTTCCCCTGCTCACTCGTGGTTGCTTGTGAATGTGCCACTAGCAGCAGCCCAGGCGCAAAGCTGCCCTGGCTGGCCTTGAGCTGCTGATTCATGGCAGCAGGCAGGCAGGCAGGCACGGAGGGAGGGGAAGAGCCTTCTGGGGGATCTTGTTACTACTCATCAACCCAGTGGGATCCTGGAATGGCCTTTGATCGCTAGGCTGTGGGAAGGATGGTGGCTTTACCCTCTGGGAGCATCTGGTTCAGGTCTAGGACAGACCCCAGAGAGAAAGCTCACATGGAAGCATCAGGCTGAAAGTTCACATAGAAGCCCCTCTTTTTCCTGGGAGCAGGCATGCCTTTAGCTCATTCCGGGCTTTGAAGGCTAAGCTGGATAACAGGTGGAATAGATAGAGGGGCCACTCCTAGTCTTTGCTTGAAGCAGGCACTCCATATACCAGGTAGGGGCCAAGGCTGGGAACAGAGGTGTAGAGGCCCTAGAAAGGTCTGTATGACCAATACCTCTGGTTCCTAGATTAGGAAACTGAGAGCTAGTGGCCACAATGGGGTTGGGTACGCAACCTGAGATGTCTGGGACACAGAACCAAATACTTCCTTCATAGAAGAGATGAATGGATCAGCTCCAGGGGCGGGGCATCCTTGGGAAAGAAGAGTTGACCAGGAACAGAAAAACAATTGGGATGGGGTGTGATTGGTAAATGGCAGGTGGACCTGACCTGGGGATGGAGTAAAAGTTGGTGAGCTCAAGTTGCCTAGAATGGGCCCGGCGTTCTGGAAGGACAGGAAAGGTTGGAATCCAGAGAAGCACCTGCTAAGAGCCCAGGGCCGAGATGTCTAGTGAGGATAGAGGGATAGAGGCCATCCAGGGTGTTTCAGCGCCACCTCCCGCCCCAGGTCGCGAGAGAGCTATGGGGCAGTTCCCCCTCTCCCCCGCCCTCCCTTCCCAAGCCTTCCGCCCAACCCCAGAGGCCTCCTCGGGTTTCCGCAGGGGCCGGAGGGCAGACGGGGGTGTCACGTGCTCAGGGCTCGGGGGCCCGGTTGGTCAGTGGGCCGGGAGGAACCACTTCGCTGGCCAGAGACAAGGGCCGGGTGGGTGTTGGCGGTTACAGAGAGTTCAGGGTGACGACCCCAAGAGAAGAGCCCGCAAGGGAAAGCCCCGAAGGCGGGCGGGCGGGCAGTGAGGAGCCCGCCCTCCACGCAGTGACCCGGGGCGCACGGGCTGAGCCCCTGATCTTGGGTCGGGTCCTGGGGCGCGGTGCTCCAGTCGGGGATGAGCTCCCCGCCACCCGCCCGCAAGGGCTTTTATCGCCAGGAGGTGACCAAAACGGCCTGGGAGGTGCGCGCCGTGTACCAGGACCTGCAGCCCGTTGGCTCTGGTGCCTATGGTGCAGTGTGGTGAGCGTTCGCCGGGCGGGGCAGCAGGCAGGGCAGGCGGCGGCTGGCGATTACGGGGCGGGTTCTCTAGCCAAGCTGTCCGCCCCGCAGCTCTGCAATAGACAGTCGCACTGGTAACAAGGTGGCCATCAAGAAGTTGTACCGGCCCTTCCAGTCGGAGCTGTTTGCCAAGCGCGCCTACAGAGAGCTGCGCCTCCTCAAACATATGCGCCACGAGAACGTGAGTCCAACGCCCGCCCCAGATGCGGACATTGTGCACTGGCCACTTCTCATCCTGCCCTCCCCTGCAATCCTGTCCACTACCTCTGCTTCCTGAAGCCTGGTACCTAGTTAGCCTCCAGCTTGAAAAAGCTATTAGCAGCTTCCAGGAGGGAAGTGGAGACAGATTCCAGACCCCTTTCTGAGCGACACTGCAAGTTCATGCCCGGCTTCAGTGGCTTGGTTTCATCTTCCGTCCACCTCTACTTTCTCGGCCCAGGCAGTGGTCAGGGTATGTTCTAGTCCTAAGGGCTCCTCAAGTCTTACTCCAAACCCTGTCTCCATTCAGGTTGGTGGGAAGAGGATTTTCCTGGAAGGGGCGTCTCTTCCCCACCCTAGGCCTTCTCTTGCCCACTTCCAGCCAGGCAGGTCACTAGAATTATGCACCCTGGCTCTATCACCCCAAAGCCTCCAGTCTCTATGGATACGGGGTTTAAGGAGAAGAGCAGGGTTTAAGGAACAGAGAGTTACAGTCACCACTGTGGGTGTGTATTTCTTCTGTCAGCATCGCATTTCCGATTTCACCTGCCCATAGTAGGATACTGCACATGGCTGCCCTTGTGCCTCTCATATCAGCCTTGCTAGCCATCAGAATCCTCTCAGCTGGGGGCTTTGTCTTCATATGGTTCTTCCTGAGGCTGTGAGTTCCATTCCCCCTCACTTGACATCTGGGGAGTTGCACTAGTCCTGAAGTATGTTTTAATCTCCTGGGTCATCAGAGTCAGTAACCCCATGGAACAATGATCTCCCTGTGTCTAACAGCAAACTTGCTTCGTCATTGCCACTCTTGGTTGATGTGTTGGACCTTTATTTCTTTTCTTCATGAAGCCTGATTAAGATGGACGTCAGCCCTGCTTTGTCTGCCTCCCCACTTCCCCATAAATCTGTAAACAGTTATAAAAAACAAAACAATCAAACAACTTGGGAGGCAGAGGCAGGTGGATCTCTGTGATTTCAAGGCCAGCCTGGTCTACAGAGTGAGTTCCAGGATAGCTAAGGCTACACAGAGAAACCCTGTCTTGAAAAACCAAAACAGACAAAACAGTAAAAGGCTTTGTTCTCATGGGTGTAGCCACCCCTATCCTCAAGCCCAATCCCACCTAGCCACCTACTTATCCCGAACCTTTCTCCAGCCAAGGGTTGTGGGCTTCTTCATTCACTCCCCACTCCTGAGTGAGTCTGTGGGTCAACCCATAACCCTTGCCTGGGTGTGCTAGCTTTCAGGATTCCTCAGCACCTTCTGGGAAGCTGCCATTGTATCTCCCTTCTCGTGTGGAAACTGAGGTTTGGACAGGCTGTATGCTCTACTTACCAGAAATGGGGCTGCCACAGATCCAGCTCTAGTCTTCTTCCCTTTCTCCTCAAGCTCTGGTCCTTGGCTCTGGGTCACATCTAAACCACAAAAGTGCAGAAGTCTTATGCCTTTGGTGGACTTACCTTGACCTCTAGGACCCTATTCCTTATATATTCTACTAAGCTCTCAGGTCACATCTGTGGTTTATCTGCCCCCAAGCCTTTCCTGTCCATGTTCTTACTCCCAACTTTGGCCATGCCTAAAGTGATCACTCAGCTGCCCTCTACCTCCTGTCTATTCTTGCCTCATTCTATTTGTCCTTTCACTGAAATCCAGAGTATATACCTATCTTTTTTTTTTTTTTTTCACTCTTTGGTTTTTTGAGACAGGGTTTCCTCTGTGTAACAACTCTGGTTGTCTTGGAACTCACTCTGTAGATCAGGCTGGCCTCAAATGCACAGAGATCCACCTGCCTCTGCCTCCTGAGTGCTGGGATTACAGGTGTGTGTCACCACTGCTCAGCCTCAGCATTTTATCTTTGTTTCCTTCCATAGCAGCTCTGTGGAGCAAAGCCAAATCTTCCTCTGGGATGTGAGTTTGAGGCCTTCTTTTGGCTCCTTCTGCCTTCTCCTTGGTTCTGTATTGGCCTGGGCTTTAGCTATTTGGACTTCTTCTCTGTTCCTTACTCTGAAGGTGTTTTCTGTCCTACTTTGGCCATCAGGCACCCTGCCTCTCTTTGTTCTTTCACTCGTCCCTCCTGATAGTTGGGTATGCAGCACTCATCAGGGAGGCCTCTCTTGACCCCAGAGTTCCGGTCCCCCTCCCAAGTACTGGGAAACTGATGTCACATTGTCCATCTGTTGTCCAACTCCCACAACCAGAAGCTGTGTTTAAATTGGTGCTTCTCCTTGGCCTAGATAGCCAGGGGATGGCCCCGGGAAGAACCTACTAGGTATTTGTTCCTCCCAAGGGACTGTCCCCACTTTGGTCTTGGGTCTGCTTCATTGAGGAGGAGTAAAAGGGGGGGGGGACTAAGGGGTTGGATTGCTCAGAAGCCTGGAGTCAACCTAGACTTGAGACTGCACCTCCCCCCAGAGTATCCCGGCTGTCAGCATCTAAAAATAGATTGTGTCTGTGGGCAAATGTACCAGGGTGGGGGCTGAGCTGACAGTGGGCACAGTGGAGGAGACAAGGATAGTTATAGGAGGGTTTTATCCCTGGAGAACAGTGCCACCCTGGGCATGCACTGAGTCCTTGCATCTCCCATGTGCTCTCCATCCTGTCTGGCACTTCTTCCCCAGGTGATTGGGCTACTGGATGTGTTCACACCCGATGAGACTCTGGATGACTTCACAGACTTGTAAGTGCTGGCCTGGGTTGGCTCAGTGGGTGGGAGGAAACTGGTAGCTTCTAGGTGTCAGTTTAAGATTCTGGGTCAGGTTGGGGGCCTTCTCCCATAGCCCCAATGAAGGAGAGGGTGCATGCTGCCTCCTCACTTCTCTTACCAGAGTCTATGCCACACTCCTACATGCTCCTTGGAGTTATGAACCCTGGCATGCCCTGGGAGAGCCGTGTTTCTTTGTCTTTCCAAGCTTGATACTTTGACACTCACACGACCTCAAGTTTGATGGTTGTGTTCAAGACCCTGACGTCCAACATATGGCCCCCTATCTGAATTGTTGCTGCCTTTTGCTGGCAGATGGGGCTTGTTCTGTATCCAATGGTTGGTCATCCCTGCATTCATACTGTTATCAACCAGAGGCTGGAGTGGGTAGTAGGCTCTTTGGTGCTGACTGGCAGAGGTCATGATATACTTTGGCCCCGTTGTCCCCTGGGAGGGGTGATAATGCCATTCTCCTTTGTCTGTCCCTCCACCAACCTGAAAATTCAACCTTGCAGCCCCAACGCTTGCCCCAGATTTCTGGTTACCCTGTGTGTGGTAGGAGGGACCTGGGCAGCTTCTGGGTACTGGCTTTAGGTTCTAAGTGGACTTGAGGCCTTCTTCCCATGGCCCAAGTGAAGGCCCACTCACTCCTTACCACACTTCCATCTACTATTGGTTCCCTGGATACTGACATGCTCTGGTAGAACCAAACCTTCTTTTCCTTCTAACCCTGGCATTTGGGCCCTCACAGTGCCTGAGGTATTAGTATAACTAAATGATCTGAGGTGCCAGCGCCAGGTGCAGCCCTAGCTGCTCACCTGGTATGATGCCCTTCAGTCAGGAATTTTAAAGCCCTAAGGCAGAGTGTGGTGGCACACACTTGTAATCCCAGCATGAGGAAGGTGGACATAGGTGGATCAGGAGTTGGAGGCCATTTTGGGCTGCATGGGACCCCATCTTAAACAAAGCAAAACAACAACAACAAAAATCCAAAAACCAAGGGCTGGAGAGATGGCTCAGTGGTTAAGGCTGTTCTTCCTGAGGACCTGGGTTTGATTCCCAGCACTTACATGGTAGCTCACAACTGTCTGTAACTCCAGTCCCAGAAGAGTTGATTCCCTCTTTTGGCCTCCATGGGCACTGCACACACGTGGTGCACAGAAATACAAGCAGACAAAACGTCCAGACATGTGAAAAATAAGACGAAAACAAAACAAGACAGTGTATGGTGATGCAGGCCTTTAATTCCAGCACTTAGGAGACAGAAGCAGGGGCAAGGACAGAGACAGAGTTTCTGTGAGTTTGAGGCCATCCTGTTCTGCACAGTAATTTCCTGGCTAGACAGGACTGCAAAGTGAGACCTTTCCTCAAAAACAAACAAAACTGGGGCTGGAGAGATGGATCAGTGATTAAAAGCACTAGCTCTTCCAGAGGACCCAGGTTCAATACCCAGCACCCACATGCCTGTCTGTAATACCAGTTCCAGGTGATCTGGCATCCTCACACAGACATATGCAGGCAAAACATCAATGCACATAAAAAACAAATTATTAAAAACAAACAAACAAACAACCCCCCAACCCAAACAGAACAACCCTAACCTGAAGCCCACTCTCTGCCTGCCATTTTGGAAAGAGGGAATGTGGGCATGCATGGAGGTGGTGTAATTGCCAAGGATAGGTGTGGACAGATGGTAGGGTGGAGCCAGCAAGGCATGGTGGGGGTGGAAACACCATAGGATGGTAGGACCCCAAAGCTAGTGAGGAATGGATTTTACAGAGTAATACTTTAGAGGTCCCTGCTGGGATTGGGTCTTGCAAAGCGTGAACTGGACCCAGTGGGTGTTAGCTTAGGTCTAGGGACTAGCCCTGCCCCATTGGCTGCATCCCTTGCTTTCACAGCTACCTGGTGATGCCATTCATGGGCACTGATCTGGGCAAGCTGATGAAGCATGAGACTCTGAGTGAAGACAGAATCCAGTTTCTTGTGTATCAGATGCTGAAGGGGCTGAAGGTAAGCTTTGCTGAGGTGGCCATGGGGAGGTGGGCAGAGCTTTCTGGTTGGGCAGGGTAGGACTCTGTGGCTTGGTGTGTCCCCTGAGCTGATGGCTGATGAACTCCCTCTCTCCCACAGTATATCCATGCTGCTGGCGTCATCCACAGAGTGAGTCCTGGTGGGCTGAGAGATTACGCATCTGCCCCTTCCCAGCTATGTAAACACAAGTGCTCAACCCCAGCTTCCCTTGCTTACCCATAAAAAGGCAAAATAGAAGTATGGTGGGGGGCTGGAGAGATGGCTCAGTGGTTAAGAACACTAGCTGATCTTCCAGAGGTCTGGAGTTCAATTCCCAGCAACTACATGGTGGCTCACAACTATCTGTAATGAGATCTGGTGCCCTCTTCCGGCATGCAAGCATACATGCAGGCATACATGTAGGCAGAACACTGTATACATAATAAATAAACAAATCTTAAAAAAATAAAAGTATGGTGGGGATTTGTATAATCAATCCTGAGTTGAAAGCCTGCCCTGGGGATCCCAGCCCCTCTGCCCTCCTTCAAAAGGACCAGGCCTATTTTGGTGGCCCTAGTGAAGTGCTGTCTGGGCCTTACTTTGGCAGGTGGGTCACAGTGGCCAACTTTCTTCCCTCAGGACTTGAAGCCTGGAAACCTGGCTGTGAATGAGGACTGTGAGCTGAAGGTATCACTGGGTGGGGAAGGTGACCAAGATGGGGGATGGGGAACCCTTCTATCCCCTTACTGGCCTGCTCGACTTTGGGCCCAAGAAAAGGGACAGACCTCAGGCATCTGAGGCTGAGCAGCTAGTGGGTCCTGGGGCCAGGTATCTGATTTAGGTAAAGAGTGGGTGAACGTCTCTAGTCACCCAGGGCAGGAGTTTGGAGGCTTCTAAAGGTGATCAGGGATGGCAAAATAGAAGAAAATCCTTAGCACTTGCCCCTGAGGTAGGTAGGGCCGGGAGAACTGACCACAAAGAGAAGCCTGGGGGGACCAAGACCAAAGAGAGGCAAAAGCTCCAGAGTGGAGACCCCAAGCCCAGCTTCTTAGAGTCTTCTGTACTCAGTATCTTAGTTCCACTTCCCCGATACATCTACAGATCCTAGACTTTGGCCTAGCCAGACAGGCAGACAGTGAGATGACAGGCTATGTGGTGACCCGGTGGTACCGGGCACCAGAGGTCATCTTGAATTGGATGCGCTACACACAGACAGGTAAGAGGCTACCCAAAGGTTCCAGTGCACACCACCCATGCTTGCTCATTCATTTTTATTTTACAACTATTTTTGTAGTGTGGGGGGATGGAACCCAGAGTCTTCCTTATGCTAGGCAAGTGCCCTATTGCTGAGATACACCTCAGCTCAGCCCTTCCTTCTTTTCTTCCTTCCTTTCCTTCTCCCTCCTCTCCTTCCTTCCTTCCCTCCCTCCTAGTATTATTATTTTATACCTTTGGGTTGGTTTTTATTTTTTTATTGTTTTTTGGAGATATGGTCTCACTATGTAGCTCTGGCTATTCCTGGAGCTCACAATGTAGATCAGACTGGCCTTGAATTTACAGAGATCCACCTGCTTCTGCCTCTCAAGTGCTGGAATTAAAGGCATGTGTCCAGCATCTTCTTCATTTTTAAAAAAATATTTAGTTTATGTGTGTACGTACTTATCTGCATGTATAGCTATACAATCACACGTGTGTAAGTACTTATCTGCATGTATACCTATACAATCACACATGTGTAAGTACTTATCTGCATGTATACCTATACAATCACGTGTGTACTTGGTGCATGCAGAGGCCAGAAGATGGTGTTGGATCTTCTAGAACTGGAGTATAACAGATAGTTGTGAACTGCCATGGGGTTGCTGGAAACCAAACCAAGGTCTTGTGGAAGACCAGCCAGTGCTCTCAACTGATTAGCCATCTCTCCAGCCCCCTTTTCATTTCTTGATAGGGAACCTTTTGTAGGCACTACCCCTGGGAGGCTAATGAGCTGGGTGGAACTCTGCTACCTTCTCAATGACTTCCTGTGCTCCATGCCTATGTACACCCCTCCCGGCCATGTATACTTGTCTCCCATATGTGGTCTCTTCCCCTTCTCTTGGCTCTCATGAATATGAATGCTATCCTTGTCTGTGGGGACACTGATGGGACTTCTATCTCAGTGGACATTTGGTCTGTTGGCTGCATCATGGCGGAGATGATTACAGGAAAGATCCTGTTCAAAGGCAATGACCGTATCCTTCTATGTAGAGCATCATGGGACTTTGGCCAAGGTGTGGGTTCTGGGTGGGACACCTTCTGCCCTTGCACTGTGTTCCTGACCTTGGTATAGATCTGGACCAGCTGAAGGAGATCATGAAGGTCACAGGGACACCCCCTCCTGAGTTTGTACAGAAGTTACAGAGTGCTGAGGTCAGTGGGGAGCTGGGTGGTGGCCTGGACTTGGCTTTGGGAGTTGGCCTCTCACTCTCCCTCCCTCCCCCACCCCCTTGTAGGCCAAGAACTACATGGAAGGCCTCCCTGAGCTGGAAAAGAAGGATTTTGCCTCTGTCCTGACCAATGCAAGCCCTCAGGGTAGGGCTGGGTGGGGTGAAGGCCTCAGGATGCTGGGTAAGCCCTATTCTGTGGCTTGGCCTGATTTGCTCGCCCCACAGCTGTGAACCTTCTGGAAAAGATGCTGGTGATGGATGCAGAACAGCGGGTGACAGCAGCTGAGGCGCTGGCCCATCCATACTTCGAGTCCTTACAGGACACCGAGGATGAGCCCAAGGCCCAGAAATATGATGACTCCTTTGATGATGTAGACCGCACCCTTGAGGAATGGAAGCGTGAGTGTGGATTCCACACAACATCTGGCTTTGGACACTGTGTGCCCTGTATAGATGAGCCTCTGCCCCATCCCCCACTGTTGCAGACGAGATAAAAGGTTGGGAGGTTAAGGGCATTGTGGGGTTGTACAACTTGGCCAGGTTGACTTCTGGCTATAGCAGGAGGCTGTGGGGAAGAGTATCCCTTGGAGGAGCTCCTTCAAAGGCTGACACGTGATGGGTTCTGAGAACTGTAGAGCATCTGTGTGCTCATGGCAGCAGTGTCCTTGGTCTCTACTGATACCCTAGCCTCTCCCCCACCCCTGTTGCCCAGCATCCTCATGTCTGGACCATACTGGAGTCCTCTCTACCACCCTTATCCTTATGACTTCCTCCTCACACCCTTTGAATTTATCCTTCTCCCTTTTCAGGAACCCTCCTGAAACAAGTACATCTTTCTCACGTTCTGGACATGGGGGATAGTCTGTTCCCATGCAGCCCCAAGGGCCCAGCCTTTTCCTCGCATCTCCAGCCCCAGATCCATCCATGACTATGTGTTGAACCTCCAAGGTCTGGACAGACTGTGCTCTTATATTGAGAACCCTTACTCTCTCAGGCTGCCCACTGTTTCCTGAGCTAGAACCAGCTTCTGCTGTCTGCCCCAGATTGGCAGGTCCAGTCTGGGGAGTAGAGATGTCTGAGGGCATATCCAATGGGGCATGTTATCCCTTATTCTGCCTTCCTTAGGCCCCAAGTCATGTTCTCTTTTTTTTTGTTTTTTGAGATAGAGTTTCTCAGTATAACAGCCTTGGCTGACCTGGAACTTGCTTTGTAGACCAGGCTGGCCTCAAACTCCCAGAGATTAAAGGCATGTGCCACCACTACCCGGTTTCAGGTCATGTTCTTGCACTCTGTGGGAAAGGCTGGATGGGGTGAGGTTCTCAAATCATGTCCTGCAAGGTTCTTCTGCACTACTAATAGGCATTCTTCCCTTCTGTGTTGTCATGTGCTCATGAGTTTGGTTCTGTGTGATGAAACCCATCTGCTGCTAAACAAAATAACTCACTTAACCACAGGCCACAAAATCTGATCTGTGGTCTCCACCTACACACTGTGCCTGGGTGCTTTTGCTTTTACCATAGACCGCAGAGGACATACAGCTTACTCCATGGACAGAGACACAAGCTTTCTTTCTTTCTTTTTTTAAACACAAGCTTTCATCACCCTTTTTCTCCTGGAAATGTATTTATAACAGTTTTCACACAAAGTGGTCTCCCCACTCCAGAGTTTCTCTGTGAAACAGCTCCTGGCTGTCCTTGAACTCTCTCTGTAGTCCATAGACCAGGTTGGCCTCACAGAGATCCGCTTGCCTCTGCCTCCTGAATGCTGGGATTAAAGGCATGCTCCACCACTGTCTGGCTTTATACACAGTGTTTTTAAGTGGTTTGACCTATTTAGGATTAAAAGCCCGTGGGTTTCTCCCCGTAGGTGAAAGTAGACTAACTATATAATCTGGTTCTCTTTGCTTTCTGCAGGTGTTACTTACAAAGAAGTGCTCAGCTTCAAGCCTCCCAGGCAGCTAGGAGCCAGAGTCCCAAAGGAGACAGCTCTATGAAGATCTCTGGGTGGTTTGGGGTATCCTGAGGATCCTGGCTGGGAGCTTCACAGGTATCCTGGCTCCCCTTCCCTGGAAGAGGAGTCCTGGTTAGCACTCTGAGTGTGCCTGGAACTTGTATCCACCTGGAGAGACTGAGTAGACCCTCAAGTCACGGACCCTCCATCTCCAAACCTGCTCCTCTGCTTTTGGGTGCATCAGATGACCCTGGCAGAACATCTAAGCTTTCTTTCCAAGATCCCCACCCAACACGGAACTAGCCTTTGAATTCTGGAGTTGTGCTCCCTTTACCACTGTGCATGAAAAGGCATTGGATCTGGCAGAGTTCAGGAGACAAGTGCTAGTCCCTGAGCTCTGCTTGCTCAGGACAGTGTCAAGGCCAACTCCTAAGAAGGAAGGAGATAGAGGTGTGGGGGGCACCGACTCAGGGAACATCATCTCTCCTGTGATAGGGTGGACTCTCTTACACCCTTAGCCTGGAATGTAAACCAGCCATTTGGTGCACTAAAGTGGCTGGGAGCAAATAAACCCTTTTGTAGATCTCCCATTCTGGCTGTGTGGTACAATGCCTGAGCTCCCATCATTTCTGAGCTGTTAGTTGTTGCACAAAAAAGAGGTAGCCTGATCTTCTTGCTGTTGTAATTTTAAAAAGTGGTGCACGAAAGACATCATGTGACAGCTTGGATGGAGGGGAAAGTAAATGGGGAAAGGGGGGAGGGGAGACCCAGCCTCTAGGGACAGGAGCAGTGGAAGAGAAAAGAGGCTGGGGGGGGGGGAGAGCAAGAATGAGGACAAGCAGAGAGAGAGAGAGAGAGAGAGAGAGAGAGAGAGAGAGAGAGATTAAATGGGAGGTGGGCAGGGCCCTTTTAAAAGGGAACATAGTGAATGTTAATTGCTGTGGGTGTATCCTGTCAGAACCCCAAGGACAGGCCAGTACGGATGCCTAAATACTAACACCTGCACCCCAGCTAGTAGAGGTGCCACAACCCTGACTCCAGGCCAAAGTGCTGGTGCCACCTAGTTCTTGCCAGTGGTCCTCAAGCCACCTCATTAGGGCTTGGCCCTCCCCCTTCAATACTCTAATTAAGGCTTAGAGTCTGAGCAGGGTGTCTATGGAGCCTGATGCAAGGGCAGGCAATGGGGAAAATGATGTGAGCACCCAGACAGATGCTCCCTTCTTTCTGAGATTGCAGCATTTGTCTTCTTATGGCCAAAGCTTCTAGAGAGAGAGGTTGCCTCTGGTCTTAGAGGCTCTCCAAGACCCAGAGAGGTGGGTTCTACTCTCTGACCAACAACTCTACTGGCATCACTGGCAGCTTCCCCGAACCTACACTGTCATATGCAGTTCCATTAGACCCTGGCTGTCTAGTTAGATGGTCCATGTTCTTCCCCATATACACCCAAGGACAGGTACACCAGGGCAGGACATAAGGGTGGCGCCTTGCATTGTTCTGGGCAAATACACTTTGCCCCGGCTAATCTGGTCAGAGGAGATGCCATGACTATGCCCTCTTCTGCCTGACACCCCCCCCCCTTGAGATATCCATGGGCAGGACTACAAATATTTCACCCCCTTGTGGAGGTGTGGCTCACTGCATGCCCTGCCTCACAAGACACATAACCCAGGAGTGCCTCTGCCTGATGCCTTTGATCTTTAGAAGCTGGAGAGGGGACCAACCAGAACCTGGGCCTGCACTCCATGTCCCGAATGTGCAATGGGCACCTCCTAACTGCTCCAGGGCTCCTTGGTTACCCCTGCACATGACTGATAGTCGTATGTGTCTCTGTGGTAGATGTCAGTGGTAGCTCCCATCCTTCACCTGGAGGAGCAGGCAAATTGGATGTGATGGACAGTTGGCATGTCTGACCCTGTGGCCTTAGAGGGCAGGTTAGGCTCTAGAACGCTGGGAGAAGTCCCGTCTTCCCCAACCATTTCAAGAGGGACACTGGAGGCAGCACTGGTCGCAAGTTCCGTGCCACACGTTGTTGGCCGTGGCACGCAGCTGAAGCATTAGAGCGAGAGACCACATCCAGAGGTGCAGACCGAGCTCATAGGTCTGGTCTACTCCACCCTAATCTCGCCTGAGGGCGGGACCGACTCTCAGAAGGAGGAAGCCGGAAGTTGGGTGCCGGGAGCCACGCTGTGGACCCGGCTTAGCTCTCTTTACAGCGGTTCGCTTCTGACTACCGACCGGACCCGGGCTTGGGCCTGGAGCGGTGCACTCTTGCCCAGGTCCAGTGTCTGCTGCCCGGTTCTGTCCCAAACGAGGGGCAGTTTACGTGCATGCTGTTAGGTGGGACTAGGCAGTGCAATCACCTGCCAGCAGAGGGCGTGTTACGCTAGAATGGATCAAAGTGACCACGGTGTGGCCATGGGTACAGCACTTGTGTACCACGAGGACATGACAGCCACCCGGCTGCTCTGGGATGAGTAAGTGTGTTTTGACAGAAGTAGGGGGCCGGGAGGGAACCCTGAACACTGACATTCTTGTCTGCTCCAGTCCCGAGTGCGAAATTGAGTGTCCGGAGCGCCTGACTGCAGCCCTGGATGGCCTGCGGCAGCGTGGCCTAGAACAAAGGTGCCTGTGTTTGTCAGCTTGTGAGGCATCAGAGGAAGAGTTGGGACTGGTGCACAGGTCAGACTATGACGGGCCTGGGGATCTGAACCTGTTATAGCCCTACTAGCGACTCCTCTGTTTCCCCGTGGTGTGGGTTCAAAGGCATAAGGGGAGTACTGGGTGGGCACTCCCACCAGGAATCCCAGCTCCTTTCCTTCCTGTCCTGCTGGTGGCTTGCCTGCTGATCTGCAGCCCGGAATACATAGCCCTGGTGCAGAGGACCCAGACCCTGGCTAAGGAGGAGCTCCAGGAAATGTCTAAGCAATTTGATGCTGTCTACTTCCACCCGGTGCGAGCCAGTATACACAACCCGATTTATGTCCATACTCCTATATGTATTCATACCCATGTTTGGCCACCTGCCAATGTCTTCTTGCTCATGCTTATGACCATACCCTGTTGTGTTTTGCCTGCCATTGTCCCATCCCTGCCTTTCTCAGCAGGGGGAGACCTGCAACCTGGGACAAGCAGGTGGGGCAGCAGGCTAAATTGCACTCTGGTCCACAGAGCACTTTTCACTGTGCCCGGCTGGCCGTAGGGGCTGCACTGCAGCTAGTGGATGCTGTGCTAACAGGAGCTGTGCACAATGGGCTTGCCCTGGTGAGGTGAGAACTGCCCCTCACCAAACTGGCTGTCTCTGTGTGTGACCCTGTGAGGGACAGAATGACTCTGACATGCCCTGTACATCCCCTCTTTTGCACCCCAGGCCTCCAGGACACCACAGTCAGAAGGCAGCTGCCAATGGATTCTGTGTGTTTAACAACGTGGCTATAGCAGCCAAACATGCCAAGCAGAAATATGGGTTGCAGAGGTGTGTTCAAGCTTTGTACTGATAGGCAGAAGGGGAGTTGGTGGCCAAGAGATCTTACTTCCTCTCTTTACCCCTGGAGGGTCTCCTGGTCTAAAGGTGGTTAGGTGATCTCCAGCATTGTCTTAATTTAGGATTCTTATTGTCGACTGGGATATCCACCATGGCCAGGGCATCCAGTATATCTTTGATGATGACCCCAGGTGAGCTGGGCTGTGGACATAGCCCTTCTCTGCAATGAACTACTTAGGGGATAAAATTCAAGTTGTAGGAGTCAAGGTTATTTGAGAAGCTGTGGAGCTGCTGAGGGACCTCACTTCTGACCTGGTCAATTGTCTACAGTGTCCTTTATTTCTCCTGGCACCGCTATGAGCATGGGCGCTTCTGGCCATTCCTTCAAGAGTCCGATGCGTGTGCAGTTGGGCAAGGGCAGGGCCAAGGCTTTACTGTCAATTTGCCCTGGAACCAGGTACCAAGTCCCCCTCCCCCCTCCATCCAGCTGACCTCTCCTGCCCCCTAGTACTTCGTTTGCAAATGTCACCTGGGACATTCTGCAAAAGTCTCTGGAGAGTTCTGTTCCCTGGGGTGAAGACCCCTCTGATGCCTGCTCTGATCTTGCTGCAGGTTGGGATGGGAAATGCTGACTATTTGGCTGCCTTCCTGCATGTGCTGCTCCCGTTGGCCTTTGAGGTGACTGTGTGGTGGATGTCCCCTAGGGCAGGCAACCCTAGGCTAACCCAGAGTTCCACTATGAAGGCAGGAGGAGATTTGTAAGCCATTCCACCAGTGTGTGAATGAACCTTGGGGAGTGGGGAAGGTGCCTCAGAGAGTCTGATATTATGTGAATGGGCAGCATTGGGGCCTCCCCTTCACCTGAGCTATGGCTCTCTTTTGCTCCTTTCCACTGGACTCTGCCTATAGTTTGACCCTGAGCTGGTGCTGGTCTCAGCAGGATTTGACTCTGCCATCGGGGACCCTGAGGTGAGAGCATGGCCTGGCTGGGGAGTAAGCTAGCATCCTGGGCCCAGGCCCCTATCATACATGACTCACTGTGCTTCAGGGGCAGATGCAGGCCACACCTGAGTGCTTTGCCCACCTCATACAGCTGCTGCAGGTGCTGGCTGGTGGCCGGATTTGTGCTGTGTTAGAAGTAAGTGTGGGGTGGTGGGGAGGCTCGAAGGCCAGGGGAGGTCATGGGGCCAAATGTGAGGATCAGTCAAGGTTAGGTGTTCTGTCTGGTATAGCCACTCACACTAGTGACAACCCTGCTCTGTCCTGTTTCAACACTCTTCCTAGGGTGGATACCACCTGGAGTCCCTAGCACAGTCAGTGTGTATGATGGTGCAGACACTGCTTGGTGACCCCACACCTCCCCTTCTTGGGCTCATGGTGCCATGTCAGAGGTTTGAAGACTGGAGAGTGGGTGGGGGGCTGAAGCAGGAGTCAGGATTACAATGCTACTTCTTCCCATAGTGCCCTGGAGTCCATCCAGAGTGTCCAGACAGCCCAGGCCCCTCACTGGACAAGCCTCCAACAAAGTCAGTATGACCTGGACCTGGGCTGGTGGCTCCAGCTTAGGCTTCTTTGTAGTGACTGTGACTGTGACCTCTTTAGATGTGGCACCAGTTCTGAGTCCCAGCACCCACCTTCCTGAAGGGAGATCTCTGTCTCTGCTTGCTGAGAGCACCACCTGTGAAGTAGCAGAAGCTGCACCAAGCCCCCTCCTGGATGGACTGTGCCTCCGCCCTATACCCCCAGTCTGCACAGCTGTTGCTTTGACTGTGCCAGGTGCTGCTCTGGCCTTACCTCCTGGGGTGCTGTATCAGGAAGGGTCAGCCTTGAGGGAGGAAACTGAAGCCTGGGCCAGGTGAGGAGAGCAATCTGGGGATGGGACTGTCTATGCCTGCACCTGTGTGACTATTACATACTTGGTTTTCATGTGTCCCTCTGGCCTGCCCATCATAGGCCACACAAATCCCTGTTCCAGGATGA